GGGGGGGGGGGGGGGGGGGGGGGGGGGGGGGGGGGGGGGGGGCAGAGAGGGACGGAGCGGCCGATGTCTCGACGGGGCGAAGACGATTCCTCCTTTCTTCGAACTCGTGGCGAGCCTTCACCGTGTCGTTGTATAGTTGCCTCCTGGCCGCTCGCCGCTGTTCTATCGCGCGCCTCTCCGCTTCCTCGCGCTCCCGCTCCCGTTGCACGGCCCGCGCAGCTTCTTCCTCCCTCTCCCGCTGAGCTGTTAGCTCCCGAGCCCTCCGAGCGGCCTCCTCATCTCGGGCCCGTTGCTCCGCGTCCTCCGCCGCCTGGTCGAGCTCAGCCTGCAGCCGCTGGTTGAAGATGGTCTGAAGTTGTGTCCACGCGTCGGCTTCATCGTTTGACATCTCCACGAACTCCTCCTCGTCTAGGTCAAAGTCAACAGTGGGGACGGCAAGGGGGTGGGGGGAGGAAAGGCGGGCCGCGTCCACAATGTCCCGGAGGGTGATGCTGCCCGAGCGGTAAGCTGCAGCCAGAGCCTTGGGGCGGGCCGCCTCGATGTCGCGAAGAAGACCTTGTCCATAGACTTCACGATGGTCCGGGGAAGACTGGGATGCGTCCTCCCCCTGTGAAGACTGGGACGCGTTCTCCACCTCCTCTTCTTCAAAGTCCATCAGTTCCTCCGACTTCTCCGACATTTCTGCTTCTGAAAAAAAAGCGAGAGAACCGGGGTATTCCCGATCACGAGTAGAAACAGCAATGGCGGGGGCCACGGCCGTGGGGGCAACAGCAGAGCCAGGGACAGCAGAGCCAGGGACAGAAGACACGGTAAAAGTGGGTGCGACGGCCGGAGGGTCCTGCCTTGGTCCAAACGGAAAGCGAAGATATCCGCAAGAGAGCATACGCCCGGCCAGAAAAGCTTGATGTACCCTTGGTTGAAGCGGATCCAACCAATCATAAAAGGCATCCAGAAGCACTCCATGCCATGTACCAACAGCAGTAGAAGCTAGCACAAAAGGGCCTGTGTTATACGAGGAGACTAGTTTGTCTGTCCAAAACTCGCGCAGCGCAGCACGACGTTTTGCCGCAACAGGCGCTGAGGTGCGGGGAAAGACCGCAGTGGGTTTGCGCGGCAGCAAAGGCTCCAACTCGAGGTCTTTTTCATGCATAGCCGATGGCCCAAAAAAAAAACGTGAGTTGTTCTCGAAAAATGAAGGGCAGATCGGTGGTGTATCGAACGCCCAACTTGTGTACACATAAAATTCGCCATGTCGAAATACGTGGAGTCAAATCAGAGAGCACCACGGGGAAGTCGGCGGATGCAGGCCGGTAAGCCGGCACAAAAGCAGTAGGAGCAGTAGTAGAAGCGGGGAGCATGCTGTCATCTCGAGCCCCACTAAACAGGGGTTGCAGCTCAGGCCGCTGCCGCCACAACGTATCCGCCACAGAAAGAACTTCATGCACTCCCGAAGCAGACAAAATGGCTCGTGATGGGCATTTCATGTAAGAAAAATCGGGAGAATCACCGCGGCGCCCTCCTATGCGCGTATCACTAGCAAGGTCCCAGTCTCGTGAGCGACGAGCGAAAGCATCATGAGCCGGCATCCCGCAGGTAATCGCCAATAAGGGCGAAGTCTAAATTCTCGTGGGTGGTGAGACCTAACAACAAGCAGTGTGGTGGTCGTGAGCAAAACGTGCCTCGGCGCACGAAAGGGAAGAATCGCGTCCAATTCTCTCTTACCGTGCCTGCCAGATTGACGCCAAGTTTAAAGGAATGCCCGCCCGACGGTGGCTTGCCTCCTAGATGTAGTAGATGTAGATTCTGCCGTAGACACTCTTGTCCACGAGCACGTTGAGATGGGAAGGTTGCTTGTTATTGCAGAAGCGGGTCTGCTACAGGTCTGAGGTGAGGCGGATTGCCCTCAACCTGGGGGCACGCAGATAGCTAAGTCCCGATGGGGTACGTCCTAAGAGGGTATACCTCCTGACGTCCCCCATCTTAATCTAGACCGACTGTGTACCCTATCTGTGCCATACAGCAACACTCCTTAACAGTAGGTTGTTATCTGTTTAACCTGACGAGTAAAAGTGGAAGTTACACCCGTACCCATTGCAAGCCGGGGAGTGCGCACCTCCGCGTGATTGTATTCCCCACGACTTTATTTGTTTCCAGGGAATTCCTTTCTTCACGTACGGCGCGGAGATTGCGACAGCAGAGCACTACTTGCAGCAGGCGATGACATCGGTACATCTTATCAAGATGCTGAACCCCAGCACGAATTTAACTCTTGTCACCAATCCAGCCATGCACCCGGACATCGATGGAGCTTTTGACGCGGTGAGATTCAAAGATTTGCCAAAAAAACATCGACATACATGACGATACTGTTACTTTGTCTCTTTGTTGCATATTTTTCAGGTCTCTGATGGTACAGTCGATGCGCGTGTGTATCTGTTGGTTAATACATGTCTTCCGTCTTTTAGAACGTGTACGGCAATCGTTCGCCACGAACTCTTGTCCAATTGAGCAGGTAGTCAACGTCGAGGAAAAGCTGCAATACTCAGGAACGGTGCAATCATGGAACCCCAACGGCGTCAGTCAGCAGTGGCTCACGCGCCTCGAGTACCTCGCCCGCTCTCCCTACCAGGTGAGTGAAAGGGTGGTTCATAGAACAGAGAAGTGAACATGAACTCGTTTTTCTCGAGAGTAGCGAGGGAGCTGCCGAGTGATGTGGTGCTTCGCAGCTCCTACATGTCAGCGCTCTCGGTGATGACATTTTAACGTTTGAAACACTCTTCACCCGGAATATATTGTAAGATTTGTGGTGTGTACAGGGTATCTTCTGCCACCGTGTTCCTCGATCTGAGAGTGTGCTTACGTTTCGGGCTGTACAATAATGTCACCAGGTGTGGTTCCTCTGAATGAAGTGATAGGATCCTGAGCAATTCCACGTAACATGTCGAAATTTCGGGGTCGAATTCCTCGTTCTCCAGTTCCAAGCAGTTGCAACTGTTTTCACACATGATCGTGACGAGAAGCCAATGTCTGCCGTGCCTGCCAGCGGCAGCAATTGTTAAACCCTTTAGAGCCTGTCATCCTGGTGGCAAAATTACGCAATACATGAGTACTTTCCCCATGGCAATTGTCTTCGCTGTTCACGAAAGGACGTCAGGCGTTTTGTAAGACGTTCTGCACAATCGGACCGCACGATGATTCTAGACAATATTTTCAACACATTTTGGTCTCGCTCGCCACGTACGAAGCAGGTTCGGTGAATATTGCTGTCGTCGCACTCGCCTTGAATCTGTCCATGATATCTTGTTACGTTACCTACGAACGCCGGCAACCTAAGACCGTCAGTCCATAGCCGCATGCTACGACGAGCTTCGTGCAAGAACAGGAAAAAGGCTTGGTGAATGTGGTGAAATGGTGGACAATATTGATCAGGAGTCTTACACGGCGTCGATTTCCATCGGTTGGACAGACAACTCTGGCCTTGGACTCCCAGGCCCTCTGTTGCGCCACCGATGTCAAAAGACTTACTGAAAAAAAACAGGGTGGAGGAGTTCGACGTTGCGTTTGCGGTGCAGGTATGGCAGAGTCGGGTTAACGGGGGGTCCAGTTGAACCCTTCGGGAACAACAGACGCACGTTTCATTTGGTTAGCTGAAGTACGTTGCCTCCAAGCAAAACCCCACCCATACATCTCTGAGATATCTTCGATGCGCTTCGAAACCAGCCGTGTGCAGCCGACAGCCGACACGTTTACACTTTCTCGGTCATGGTATTCTGTTTGTTTTCGCTCTGCTCCCCTGCGAAGCATCGTGTGCATGAGTATTCATGAAGTATTGCCTTCTTTGGTGTAGATATTTCAATTTGTCTGGAGGCCTATTCAAGGAAACGTGACTTGTCATTGCATGTATGTGTAAAAAACACCCATCGAAGAGCAACAACCGCATTCGGTATGCCATTGTCGTTTGTGTACTTGCTTGTTTCTTGTCTCACCTCAGAATCCAGACCTTCTAGCGCCGTTGGGCGATGATGTACCGCAAGAAGGAGAACACGAAGCGCTTCTTCAACCGATGGAGAGTCCTGCAAATCGAGTACAGCAGAGCCGGTTCAGACCAGGTGAGTGAGTGATATTATTGTGCGATTTTTTCTGTTTGAGCAGAGCATTATGTGGTACTTATCTGAGCATACACGTGGCCTGTGTAAAGTGTTACATTAGGCTATACAGAAGGCACAGTAAGAGGAATGATCCCAGCCGTTCGCACATCCTGCCACGGAACTCATTGGGTCGTCTGACACTATCGTCGGTGTGTCTGCATGGCGAAGAAATGGTTCGAGTTCGCTCTTTTTTCCCGCCTTGTTTGCCTTTCTCGGTCGTCTTTCTCCCACGCTATCGATTGCAATAAAGTTCAAACTACGACGACTTTTCTTATGATGTCATCGCCGTGGGTGCTCTCTACGCGGCAAGTTGAAAACTTTCCCAACTCACTGTATTGGTAGAGTGGTTGATTTATTTTCCCGCGGCGCGCAACTTGTTTGCATTGCCGGTGAGGCAGGTACATGGCCCGGAGGATAAGTAAACGCGAAACAACATGGTGAAATGTCGAGACGAAATGTATTGATTGGTAGAGTGCTTCTTTTTTTTTTTCCGCGGCGCGCAACTTGTTTGCATTGCCGGTAAGGCAGGTACGACATTGCCCGGAGGATGGGTCAACGCGAAACAGTATGGTGACATGTCGAGACGCTTCGTCTACGATGACCGAACGTGAATATTTGTTTTGATCTTGTTCACTTCTTCGTCATCTCCGACAGCATTCACTGGATATGACCGCACGATCGTTGGCGCTGCAAGACAAGCTCAACGTTAGCGTGACGACCTTTCCGAAGACGTCCATGCTCATCGATCCAGGGCCTGTCCATTTCGTCCACTACGACGCGGCGTCTGATAAGGACGCGGAGATGTGAGTGTGGCGTTTGTTTGTCGTTTCTCGTGGGATGTTTGGCATGTATTACCGTCATTTTCTACCTGAGAACTCGCGTTAGGTATCTACGATCAGCGCCTTTCCTGACATGTACGCCATCGCGACGATGGCAACGATATCACCATTCCGATGGCCCCTAAGCCCTCGGGTAGGTGTGCAACTACACCGCGTGTAAAACATTATATAGCTGAGGAGTGATTTCTCAGGTCTCACCGAGGGGTTAGGAGTCTGGATGTCGAATCTTCCTCGTAACGTTCCTTGTACCCTCCTCCCTCAACGTTTCTTGCCTACTTGTATGCAGGACCTGCCGAAAGCTGAACAGAACACTGGAGTCTTGCGAGAGTTGGAGTGATACCAGCGCCATTTCCAAATCGGAGGAGACTGGCCTTCGTTTCAAAAGCAACAGCAAGGTAAATGTTGGTGCATCGAAGTGACGGCACCCGCCTTGATTGCAGAAATGCGACAGGGCCAACCTGCCTAGGTTTGCGTTCATTCTTTCTCGTACCTCTCGAAGCACCCTTTTTTTGTAATCTTCACAATTATAGTCGTTCCGGTCTCTGCTCAGTACCCTATCTGCTTGAACAATCATTGCCTTTCATCATCACAAGTGTTGCGGTATGTAATATTGTCACGCCGAGTATTTTTCACTTTTCATTTGCTGGCCTCCCGTTTACGTTACGGCGTTTGCATAGGCTTTGGGCAGGCATCATTGGACAAGTTTTTGTCTGTGTGGCACCGTTCATGACATGTGAATTTGTCAGAGGTCGCGCTTGTCTCGTGATCAGTTTCCTGTATCCGACGAGAGCAGCGTTTCTGCCATTGCCGAAGACACAACGAAACGGACACAGATTTTGCATGCAGGCCCCAGACATTGGGCACAACGGGCGGGTCTCGTTGGCTTAACAGCATACAAAGGTTGACCTGAAAGACTGCCCACACTTTCCCTGCACTCGCCCCGTTGGGTTGCCAAGTAGATATGCTTGGTTTATTGAAGCGAAGACTAACCCTACTGCCCCAACGCAACACAGATGGCATACAGCGAGTACGAGCTAGCAGAGGCCACTTCAACAGCCAGAAGTGGCGCGTTGTATTTCCGGGGGTTGGACTGGGCGAACACTGACGGAAGAAGGGGGCGTTTGGTCACTCCATGGCAAGAACATTGCCCCAAGTGCTGGGAAGGTCTATCTGAGGTGACGAGGACGCCACGCGGATTGAAGTACTGGAGAAGAGAACCAATTATGGTCAACGGGTTTGGAACAACTGGTCATCCTAATCTGAGTGGAGCAATCATTCGTTGGAACATCGTCGATTAAGCCCTATTCACTGGAAGAGCGGTATGGACCTGAGCACACGTGTGAAAAGAAAACTGCAACATCTCTCACTGGAAATGATGCAAGAAGTTACGTGCTGAATTTCCCAAGGGCAAAAAATGACGCCATTATGCACGAGATGTTTCTCGACCTTTGATTTTTCGTACGTGGACGGGTTCGGGAGTGCAGTGGGGCAGTCTGCTCATTCGATATTGTACAAAACATTCGTTCTAGGTCAATAGAATCACACCATTCAACACAGATTTAAAGTTTAGCGTGCCTAGGACCAATTTCGGCGCCAATGCGAGACCAACCAATAGGGGACCCGTCACTGAATAGCGATGAAGCCACAACTTTGGGCGTTTGTACCAAGTTTACATACTAGCTCGGTTTCACCACCGCTGCCACGTGTATTAATTTCTAGGACGTTGATGCAGGAAGAAGGAGGCTGTTGCACAACCGGGAAAACATCTGGGATAGTCCAACCTTCGTTGC